GAAACCAGGTGTTGCTATGAAATGGGTAAAAACGCAAAAGAAGCATTGCTACTCGAAATTACACGGCGGCTAAAAGCGGTCCATGTCGCGGGGTTACAAGACACATCATGAGTGTGACTAAAACAAGGAGTGTCCAACTTGATTGATAAACCTGAAGCGTGTCATGTTTTTATCACGTGAGACTACCTGCCATCGGCATTGCCCAAGAAACAACGCATGCGCAATGGCATTCAAACAAAAGAGCTCTGCGCAGTATACAAGCACAGCCCTCAGCATTATTCAGGTTAGAATAAATAGATAATGTATTCCCGATCTATCTCAAAGGCCTAGCAAAATACGTTTTCTTGGTCGGTGGTTTGCGTCCTACAAGCAGAAAAATGAAGATCAAAGAAATAAACCACTTGCACTAAATGAAAGAAGGAAACTCGATGATTTTTGAGGGGAATTTTGTCACGCTGCTGTTAGTATTAAACACTAATTCTTGCAATCCTACAATCCAAAAACTCTCTCCTCCCAATGCAATATCAATTGAAAGCTTGGGGACTATACAGGCCGTATTTGCAAACTGAACTCCATTTCCAGAGAAAAGAGATTTCGGTTTACTTATACACAGCTGACAAAAGAGGAAAATGCTAAATAGATACAATTGAGACTCAAGATGCGGATTCAACAAACTGAACTAAGTGATTCATAAGCTTTGTCGTGTTTTAAGAACTTCGACGTGACATTTGAACAAGAATCTTTAAAAAATTTACACTCGTCGGTAGCGTGAATCAAGGCGGTTTCTCCCTCTTCTGGAAAGACTATTCTTTTCCGTCCGCTGGCATTTTCGAAAGTCTTGGTGAAAGTCTTATTAGGACTGAGAACAAAAACGACTTCTCCCTTATGTCCACTTCTCTAACCTGACCAGCTTAAGCGGAATCAATTCCATGTTATCAGAGTTGACTGGGCAACAAAGTGGTAAGAAAACAAGAGGTTACAACTGAAAGCTCGTGGAGAATTTACGTTCTGTCTTGGAGGATGTAGGCTTGTCGAGGTAGGCTTCAGGGTCTTTCAATGGCCGTTTAGTAACGAACGTGCTGCGAGGTATGTGCAAGACTTTTTTTTCATCTGCAATCGGGTAAATAAAATTGTTGATAATAAATCATAATTCGGCTTGGACAACCAAGGCAGTGTATGGCTTTTTTATAGTTAAAATAGTTTGTTTTCTCGCGGACATCAATGATCGTGAATCTGCCTGACTAGACGAAATGTTACTTAGATATTATTTGTCTGACACTTCTTCACTGTAGTCCAACGAGAAAATTTCGCCAAAGCTAATTAAGGCAAAATACTTCATGCAAGGTTGGTACTTTACTGTTTAAAGACTAATATATTAGAAATGTGCTGTTCTACTCATTTGTTCACTTATTTGTCGAATTTTTTTTCATCTGGGTCTGCGAAGCGTTTTCGACGAAGAAGAAGCTCATAACTTTGGAAAAAGTGCAAATAGTTAACTGATGATTTTATATATCCTTGTTCATGTTTCCACTGTGTGAAAGCTCATCAAATAAAACAAGGAACGCCGAAGACGTTTGCACTGAATTGATTGCAGTCGAACGCGCTTTAGTGCCACCCGTAGCATTTTAAATATATGCACTAATTTCACCACTTCATGTAGGAGGGTGAAAAGGTTGGTCTTGTGGGGTGTAATTTCTTCGCATCAACTTCCAAAGCACCTTCGGTAATTGAAGTAAACTGTTTATTGATCTATCTAGTCACTGGCTTATCGAGCTTAAACGTTCACGGCGCTTGTTAAAATAGCGACCTTTTATTATACCATTGGATAGTTTCTCACCGTACTATATTCTTGTTTTGTCTGCCTGGGTAACCGCATCGACTGTGGTATATTTGCCATCTTCAGCTCCTTCGATATGTTCAACATAATCATATTAGAAAAGATGTGAAAAGGCGTAGTTACTGCCGCGAGTGGCAGGCCGTGAGACTTATAAAAAGAGAATCAGTCAAGAATCTGCTGGTTACACAAAATCTATTTCAACTACGAGCAATTTTACGCTATCAACTATCAAATATTAAAATAATACTCTCTGATTCCCAGCAATGAAGTTCAAATACGCACACCTTTTTCACCAACCAGCACATTAATCAACTAAATGAAAAAACTTGAAATAATTTCCAGTTAAATGCTATCAATTTGGCGGCAAATTTACCTTTCTTAATACCAAGATGGAATGGTTGATTTAAGGCTTCAAACCTTCTTTGTTAATGGCGAGACTGATAATCTATTGGAGCTTCCGAGCAAGCTTGCTCAAGAATTGTCCAGGTCCACAAGAGTCAAATGCTTCGGTTCATCTTCAAACAAACTAACTCCGTAAAGCAAATCCTACAACAACCACAACTAAGCTGTTCGCGCGATGTACTGTGCAGGAGACATCTGGCCCTTCCACCGTACTGAGCAAAAATTATGACAGCTTCCTAATATGAGCCATGAAGGGAAAACTAATTTTGGATAAGGACTGTTCACAGTAACAGTATGATAACTCTTTTGCTTTGAAAGTGAACGATGCAAGGATTTCATGTGGCGTAAATCAGTTTCCAAATGAAACTTCTCCAGTAATACATTCACAATGCTATTTCTTTTTTCAGCATTTTTACAAATTTGATTTGAAAATTTTGTCAAATTTTTACCTTGGCCAGGGTAAGAAGACTTTGGATAATTTATGACATCTGCTACACAAACAAAGGAAGCCTTCTTGCCTGAAAAGGTTATACTTGTTTGCTGCTTTGATCATGTTCAGTTACGTTTCAGTTCAATCATGCACACTAGCTACTTAAAAATAGGATTGTATTTCACCGCTGCTTTGTCATAATAAACCTAAACAGAGCCATACAGAATCATTGTGAGCTGAGTGATGCAAAAGCCCAAACAGCAAACATCGTTCAGTCTAGCTAAGTGAGAGAATTATATCTTGTTATACCTTATGGTCAAGTATTTGTGGTAAGAGGACTGACCAGAACTGAACCTAAGAAGTGTCAACATTCAAATAAAATGGCAAGAGCGTATAATCATACAATTGTCAACCTTTGTTTTTCCCTTCGCTTTCTTTGCCATAAATACGTTGGTTGCAAGTTAAATTGCCTGTTGAATCCAGTTAGACAGAATTTGCTAAGAAACTTGAAATGCAAATACCAGCCCAATCAGTTTAAGACTCCAATTATAACTGAGAAGTTATCTTCTGTTGATTAAGCATGCATGCTTTTTTGTTCTAATTGGCCCTCTGTAAGTCTTCAATGAAGTATTTCGGGCAGTACAAACCGCGCTATCGTATAGAAACGGGTAAAATACAGATCTCAATGATTACGAGTATTAAGTTATGTCTGCATGATGAAGTCGGAAGTCATGCAAATCAAGTAGAGCCGAAGCTCGGCATAGAGAAATATTTCTTTGAAACCCCTGTTTTCCCATACAATAGGCCGGACCTATCCTTCTTGGTGTCTGGATATTAAATGAAACATGTCTCCCTGAGAAACAACTTTCAGTAGTAACTTGAAGGAGAGAAACTGCCTTCCAATTCGCTGGGATTCATGCACTATGAAAATAATTCTTCTACGCGAATGTTAAATTTAATCTGTTTAGAACAAAAACCCTTCAATCTAAAACCAGAATATAGCATATTTCAATTAGAAAGCAAGATAATTAAGAGGAAGGAATGATTTTCAATCCCTAATAAAATAGAATATACTAAGACAGTCGGCGACAAAATTTATATTCTGTGGCCAGGAACACTAGTTCATCTGGTAAAGCTACATGTTTTTACAAAAATACGGCTATAAGTTCACGGTCGCCATAAAAATGCAAACAGAAGAGACTCTTTTCCGGTATTGTCGCTCTTCGCTCTTGTTAAGAAACAACAAAACTAACACTGCATGTATCTTTAACATCATTAACAATCGTTGATAAACACAAGAAACAACCATACCCAAAGAGAAACAGAAATTTTGCCGCTAAAGACAAAGCCTTTAACGCCTGCAGTAGACTGGCTCCTAAGTTTGATCATGCAAGCAGATCTCTTGCCTGTGTTATTTAGAAAGCGTAGCGTGGTAATACTTATTTAAGCTGACGGTTCAAGGTGGGGGTTGGGGGGGAGTTTGGGTAGAAGTGTGCCGCCGAGGCCTTCAAACCCTGACGCTATTGAAGGGCAACAGGCTTCCGGTCCAAAGACACGCTTTTTCTAAGACGGTAAACAGTGAAATTGTGTACCTCCCTGAAACCCATACCCTGTTCAGCCGCACATACCCGTCTAAGTCAAATAAGGGAGTACCTCCCCGCTCGAGGGGACGGAGGCGGGGGGGGGGGGGGTTGCTGAGACCTCCGTCTGCTGAAACAAGTCAACCAGAAAGGTCAATCGTGTATTCTAGTCTAAATTACTGTCATGTTTGAGTCTTGAATCATGATCCTTCACTTTAAAACAAGTTACAGCTTCCGCTCACTGTGCAACAAATGCTAGGTTCCAGCTTTCGAGTAAAATGAAAACAGAGTACTACCTGACATGAACTTAACGCTCCACAAACGTGAACATTTCGCGTTGTGCAAATCAATTTGAATCGACACTTACGTGAAGTATGTTGAAATCCCCCAAGGTATGAGAAGAATTGTATAACTTTTCACGAAGAGCAGGAGTGAAATTTCGGATCATCGGAACTGGACTCTTTGGTTTCCGAGATCACAGAAGTTCTTGTTGCAGAAACAAATCGAGTTTTTTTATACTTGAAACACACATACATAGTACAGCAGTCTATTAAAAGTGGTCATCAACGTCATCAGTAGGGAGGTAGGAGAACCATTCCTTCTTCCCATAAATTCAGTGATTAGAGAGATTGCCGACAAAAATGAAACATAGTAAGTGTTATGACTGAGTCTTTCTATCACGTGCCTTGGAAATGGGCTCCTGTCATACTTGTCACGGGCCATAACCTGCCTTTAAAAGGTTTGACAAACAATGCATGAGCATAAAAAATCAATCGGACGGGCTTTGCTTTCTACGTATGCAAGAAAAGGCTTCCAGGATTATTCACAGGTTTGAGTTATAAAAATTTCTCCTATTTCTGTTTTATACTCTACGTCTGGGAGTTTCGAACTTTTTCTCCTGATACTTTTATCTCGCAAGCAAAAAAATTAAATAGAGGAACCAAAAAGGCACTGAAAAATGAGGGAAATAATAACTTGTTTTTCTTTTGGGTAATTTTTCATGCTGCAGTTTTGCAAATTAGAACTCCTAAGTAAGCTCTAAAACAAACTTCACCGGGAAGCTAAGTTCGATTTTCAGGCAAGGTTGGGCTTGCAACCACGTACATGGCACCTTAACGAGGAAAACCAATTTAAAATATTTTAGAACTAACACGAACAAGAAAAACAGGCCAGTAAGATTCTTAAGCTGTTGCGCAAGAACTTTGAACGCGCTGTAATTGATTAAGCGTGTAAAATGCACTGAGTATGAACTGATTCAAAACATTCGATAGCTAGCGGGTTTTAATAGAAATGATAATTGAAGCAAGCAAACATTTTCTCCGAAAACCCCGGGCAACTATGATTGAGCCTAGAGTCTGATATAAAACCTGACATTCGAATGCAGGCACTCTCGACAAAAGTGCGAGGGAATTAACGTTTAAGATGGTATTTCTTCGAAATATCCTTACTTTGTTAATTTCAGTACAACGGGTAAAAACTATTTCTTTTTAAATAACATAGTTTGTTTTATCTTCGAAGCATTCCAAAGGAAAAACTTAAGCCTTCGTAAATTATTGTTTACTGCTCGACTGGCTAACCGCTCCCTGATTATTTCTTTGTCCATAATACCACATTTATTTGTCACCTAAATTATTAATCTTTTGCTACAGCTTTGTTAGTATGCAACACCTGATCTATTGATATGGCAATTCAAAAATATGCAGTGTAATAAGGACTGGTTATCAAACGCTCATTGACTAAACTTATCGCCTTCTTGAAAACAATGAGGATTTCGAGTTAGGATACTAACTACTTTCTTCTATTTTAACGTATACATATAAACCAGTTTTAGCGCGGTCAGTTTCCACGTTGGCAGAGCCGATTAAGCCTCAAGGTAATGGTAAAAAAGAGGGGTTATTGATATTTGTTGAATGCAAGGATAAGCTTTGGCCGTCACCTGGTATATTTGAACAATTCAGTAATCGAGAGTGCAATGGCTGCATGGGCGGACTGTCCATGTCCGCCGCTGTTGCGATGAACGAATCGTTCTTTTGCAAGCAGTTGAGGCAAATAAATTCGTTTAGAATCGATCTTTATTTCTAGAAGAAACTCAGTAGAGGCGCTGTTTCTTAGATTTCGTAACAATGTATGTATATGCATGGAACATCGTTAGATCATTCACTAGTGTACGATCTGTGATCCCTGTTAACATCGATGTAGAGGTTTGTATGTCGTTTGACAAAAATCAAGCGCTGTACCTTAGAGTAGGATTTTAAGCTAGCCCGTTGTTAGGAAAAGCGCTCAAAAATCGAATAAGTATATGTCCTTTTTATACTGTGTAAATTCGGACGTGTAAATCGCGGTCTGATAAAGACAAGTGACCAAGCACCTTATAATTTTGTCGATTGTTAATTTGAAATGCTATCGTCTTTGTACGTAAACATTTTTTTTTTGGACGTAAACTTGTCAACAAAGAAGCAAGAAAATCGGGATGGTACTAACTACGAGTAAAGCTACACGACCAGTTTTTCAATCTAGCCAGGAAACTGTGATATTTTACAATGACAATGCTCTTAAACTTCGTTGCGATTATCCACTTTTCGAGACATGGCGCTTTCTTCATGTAGCTGTGGAAGCCTACTTTTTAGAACAGTCGAATGCATCGGCTTTTTGTGTTGACTAGCTAGGATATAATCAGAGCCTCTACACAATGCATGACTTATAAGCGATGTTTTACTGTAGTGAGAAATGTACTAGGCTTCTTAGACCTCTCCTAATCACTGACTTCGAATCACTCCTGACTCACCGAAAGATCCAACAATGTTATGAGAAGACAAACCCCTTTATTATGGGCAGTATTGTAAAGCAAATCCATGAAATCTCCGCGGACTTTCTACCTAAATATTCCTTAAGTGTGGCAGATTTTGCTTCTTTTAAAACCAAGCGGTAAATGTTTTGGCTCAAAACCTAACTTGGCTTGATAATTTGTCGAGGTTTTCAGGCTAGGACTATTTCCGGCCAAACATGGCCAAGGCCGCCGAAGGACACTGCAAACGAAATGACTTGGTACATTCATTAGATTGATATTTACTCCGTAAAGCAAAATAGAACCAAAAATAAGTTAACCTTAAATGGCAGTCTTACACATGTAACAACGGCTTAGTTGTTTGTCTCTCATTGCTAACCAAATTGTCACAGACGCCGTTTTGGTACAATGTTTGACCTACAGTTACTCAATAAGTTTAGTCAAATGGTTGTATAAGTGAAATCAAGATGAATGCCTCGAAAATTACTGCTATCACTCAACCCGGGATCCACAATAAATAATCGTGTCCCAGAATCAAGAAGTAGTAACTTGAGTAATTCGAGATACAACTCATCTCCGTAATACAGTTTCACAGACCCTCCGATGACAAACAGTTACGAAAACTAGGATTTATCTCAGTAGAGAAATAAAAGGACGGTACCTCACGACCAACACAGGATGAAACTTCTTAAAACCAGATGTGTAAGTCTGAATAAAAAAAGAAAAAGACAACAGTTCAGTTCTTGCGCTGAACGCATGCCGAAAAATTATATAACAGAGAGAGGTCACAGGGCAAAGCTTCTCCACGTGCAGTACTAGTTAGGTCTATATGTCTAGTGCTTGGGTCTAGTGTGGAGACAACTGCAGCTCCCTTAACCCTCAGACGTGCAATGTACACGCAAAGTCATACCCCCACCGTGGTACAAGGGGGGGTTGACGGACCCCCCCCCCCCTCGTTTTTGATATGTTGCAGTATATGTTGCGGTTCTTCAGCAGAACTTTCACATGGTACTATCAACTTTGTTTGTAGATCTTACTTTTAAGTCTTTGGATGAAATCCCAGGCCGGTGTAACCATCCAAACACTTAACAAAATGAAATTTAGAAATTTCGATGAATTTTGATTTAGGCCACTTTTTGAACGTGACAGGAATAAATACCATTTATTTGATTCTCAGTTACATCAATCTCCTTCGTGAGAAAATTAAATGAAACCAAACCTGGGTTAAAACCTATATCAGCCGTGTCCATTTTACTTGTTTATAAGTGTTTGCTCGAAGGGTTGACGAGTAACACAAGAATCAGCGAAAGAAACTGGACACGGAAATATTAGGGTATTTTGCACTCGTCGTTTTGGCTTACACCGTCTTGGTTTGCTCTCATCGGACACAATGACGCAAGCACTTTAACAAACACTGACGAAATTGAAGTGAATTCCATTCTCTTTAAGATTCTATCTAGAAACGTTTTTCGTGGAAGCCGGGGGAGGAGGTTTAAACGTTGCTCGAACTGTTGAAACTGTTTTACAATCAAGCACTTTCACCCCAACTTACCTTTACATAATACACATTGATTCCAGAAATTTCGACTACATAATATGATCTCCAATAGTAAATATCTCGGTTTCAAATCAACAAGTTAAATGTACAAAAAAATACTGTCTTACTGGGTCAAGGCCTTTCAACCCCCCCCCCTCCCCCACCACTACCCTGGATCGGTCAATGCTCATCTGCTTGTCCTTGCTTCTGTCCTGCGATCATGCGAGTAAAACCCCAAAATAACTAGGCGTAATTCTCACAAAGCCCTTTTTTCCCAGCTCGTCGAGTTTATATTTTTACATAAATTTTGGTGCCATCGTTTATATCCTTGCGTAGACGAATAAATGGTAAGATCAATTAAATGGTAAATTCACCTAAAGTCATAACTGCTAGAGTATTGCCAGTAGAGTAGTATAGGCACTCGAGCGAAACAAAACAACTAGTTCATACCTGAAACTGAAGGCCTTTAAAAATTGAGTGAACTGATAATTCCTCTGGTTTACAGGACGTGAACCATTCAAATGTGCGTTTATGAAATGCGTCATAAGCCTAAACAAGAGGCTATGCCTGACAATCCTTGACATAACCAAGAAACCAAGCTAGTTTTCAAGGTTTCTTTCAAACCAGTGTTATACACCGCTTTTTGCCTTAATGTTGACTGTACTTACGCCGCAAAATTAATCCAAGCAAAGTTGAAATTTCGGCATTTATCTCCGATAAAGTAGCTCTACGTACATAATGCGCCTTATCTGGCTGACAAACAAGGGTGAGTCACATTACTAGACGCATCTTGTTTCACAGGCTTAACCAATTGCCAGTGAAGTGTGGAAAAATCATTTTGACGTGTATGTCATTTTGCATCACAGCTTAAGAAACGGACTGGTATGGACTGGTATGGACTGGTAAAAGGAGGACCCTTAAAACATGGACTATAGTCAAATTCGAACTTTTTAAAACGAACTAGGTAACCTTTGGAATACGGAATTCTGGAAGCGAAGAAACACATTTCCTAACAACCAGTTTTTTGGACTTGATTAAGCTTCATTTTGGTTTTTGAGGCATGCGCATAAGCCAAAATTTGGAGAGAACTGAGTTTTTGTTTATGAGTTTTTTTGTTCTTATTTCGATCCTTTTTTCTTTCTTTCTCTCTTTCTTTCTTTTTCCCTTCTTTTCTATCATTATCTGGTTTTGTTGCCCTCTTTATCGTCTTTCTTTCTCACAGCATTATGGCTGGCTGCTTTTTTTTATGAGAATAGATTTATTTTATAAGAATATCGAGGCTGAAATTTGAGAAATTTAAAGAATATATTTGAAGAATAAACGTAAGGCTAAGATTTTGAAAATGATATAATAGATCATAGTATTTTGTGTTGAAAATCTGAATTACATGTTTTTAACTTAACCGAATAAAATTATTGCTTCCTCTCGACGACAAAACTACCCAACAAAACTGGAAGAAACCTACGGTAAGGGACCGGTCATTATTTATCGCCGGGGGTCGGTGGGGATCACTTGATTTTTAGGAGATCAAAAGGGGGGATCAGTCGTAACTGAGAACCCAAAAGGGGAGATCACTAAAAACTTTGGAAGGATTCAGAGGGGGACCACTCAAATTTGCTTGGAAAATGAAGACATTAGAGGGGGGGGGGGATCGCGAAAGTCATCAAATGTTATTAGGGGGATCACTTCAGTGAAGTAACATTCAAAGAGGGGATCGGCTAAATTTCACCTTCTTTAGCCCCAAATCCTTCGCCCCTTCCCCCCCCCTCCAGGCGATAAATAATGACCGGTCCCTAACCATAGCCAAGTGTTTAATGCTTAAGACAGTTCGATGAACGCTACATGAAATATATATCTAGAGTATACAGCACAAAAGAAATTAACAAACTGCAAAAAGTATATGATAAATTCTTTCTTTTTAAAATATAATATAAGAACAATAGAAGAACATTTTCATCCTAAAATCGGCGGAAAAATAAGAATTTCCAGCCTCAGCCGGAAAAACAACATTCTCACAAAAAGACTGTAACTTTCAAGACAAGGGAGTAGGTGAACAGCGAAATTGGCAGTGGGGTTTTTCTCAAACATCTTAGTGGGTTTTTGTGTGTAACTCTTGCAGGATTGGTCAGAATTTTCAAAATGAGATATATATCTATACTTCCTAACTCGTTGCTCACTTATCTTAATTAATTAAACTTAAAGCTAAGTTTGTTCAGCATAGTTCTTATTGACCCTGACTCGATCCGTGCCCAAGGGGTTTAACTCTTACCTGCAAAACGGAGACTGGTAAAAGGAGGACTAGTAACCCATCGACTAGCAAATGAGACGTAGCCTTCGAAAGCCTGCGCATGCGTCCTGGCCACCTTATTTACCCCTTTTCCTTCAAACGCCTGCCGAGCAGGCTCTGAATAGGTAACTGCAGGAGCCCATAACCCGGAGCGAGCAACTCCCATACTAGGCCTATGTCTCGGTGTTTTTACCGACTAGTTTATTTTTAGACACATTTTAGGGCACTTTTCGCCGCTAAAATAGAATCTCCACCATGTCTATGAGCGCATTCGAAAAAAAGGCAAAAAATATCATTTTTAGGTCTGTAGGTTTTGCTGACCGGTTTGTGGAATATAAAAGATATTCAAAATCCGCCCCCAAACTGTTCTAAAAATAAACTGGTCCGTGAAAACGCCGTGACACGAGCGCATGGAAATTGCTCGCTCCAGGTTATGTGCTCCTGGTAACTGGTTTTGTTATTTATTCAAATATTTCTCCTTTTTCTGATTGGCTCACTGAAATAGGGCTGTGCCTAAGATGCTCTAAAACGTTACCCCCCAAATGCTAAAATTTTCAAGTTGCTTTGCACATTTCTACAAGACGTTTTTAATTAACCTACCAAACAACACTTTCACTGTTCTTTGACTCCTAAGTTCCACGGTCGTTGTTACCACCAGCGGGGTTGGTTTCTGTTTGTTTGGTCGGGATATGTCATTATTAGCCTTATCTGGTATGCTTAGACTCGCACCTTAAGTGGCATTAACTCTTCGAGGTCCCTAGAGGTCCTCAAGCGAGGGGTCGTACGGCTCCGCCATTTCAGTTGAATTCATCAACTCACCGCTGACCACTTGAATCGCCTATTCAAACCACAGGCAAACCAATGCGAGCAGTGCCCCACAATGTGTTATGAAATGTTTAGAAAACTATACTTTATGTGACGGTTGTGACCAAAACAGCGGAAAAAGTGCTTAAAAAATGCTTCATATGCCAGTTTGGTCTGTTATAATCTGATGGTATTGTCTTAGAGCATCTGATTAGAAGTTGCCCAAAATAGACCTTATTCACGATACCCACCACCTTTGCACGCGCTTTAGGATTGATGGGATAAAAGCAAGGTCACGTGGTATTTCAGGGGGCAAAGAAGTGATAGAATTTGCGAATAGGAGTAATCGCGGTCGAGTTTGTTCAATCTCGCAAAACGAAACGACGATTTAATAGTCATCCAAAGTGTACGATTCGAGTTTCGACAAGTTTACTTCGTTATTTACCTTACACCCAACGTTCCCAATCTCAACCTGTTGTAACGCAGCTGGAAATAGCACTCACTGAATCAAATGGAAATATGACAAATATGTTGAAAAGGAATGACAAAGAACGCCAGAGACGAAAACTGCTGGCAAAGGATGGTGCTTAGGGCGGGGTAGGAAGCAGGCAGGCAGGAGGCAGAAAAATTGTCTTCACCAGCCCAAATTGGCTCTCTAGATCTCGCACCTTTGCCGGCTCTATGTTGCGCTCGGTCCTACTACACATATAAGCCCCTTTCATGACTCTGTAGGTTGTATGAGAAGGTCCAAGAGAACGTCCCACACTTGTTGGTTAAAGGGTCTGCCCACTAAAACGCAGAACCCGCGCTTGCGCCATAAAAGGCAGAATATCAGACCCAGTTCCAGGATGGTATTGATCAGCGGGTATAAACCGAAGACCCTGCTCAGCTCTAGCGATGACCAGCGATAAACTGGCCTATTGGGACATACAATTCTGCTTTGTGCATAACCCGCAGAACGTCACTTGACGTCTTTCAAGTGTGCATGGAGGGGGGGGGGGGGGCTCGAGGTGTGCGTGGAGAGCGAGAAGCTGACCTGAAAAACGCAAAAATTACGCCTGATCTGCAGCACTACGAAGAGAAAAGAGTAGACACGGCAGATAACCTCGAAGAAATGAGTTATCTCTCTAAATGAATAAAGTGGCAAGGGGCTACTCACATGATACCGAAATCATCTTTATCCTGGAACGAGTTCATTCCATCTCCATGTTTTTCTCTGTAATTGTTTACATGATACCGAACCAATACAAGTCATTCCGGAATGAGTTCATTCCAGTTTTTATTCCCAATAAAATTCTTGTCCTGGTACGAAATTTCATTCTGGCATCATGTAAACTGAAAACGTGCGTGGAGAGCGAGAAGCTGACCTGAAAAACGCAAAAATTACGCCTGATCTGCAGCACTACGAAGAGAAAAGAGTAGACACGGCAGATAACCTCGAAGAAATGAGTTATCTCTCTAAATGAATAAAGTGGCAAGGGGCTACTCACATGATACCGAAATCATCTTTATTCTGGAACGAGTTCATTCCATCTCCATGTATTTCTCTGTAATTGTTTACATGATACCGAACCAATACAAGTCATTCCGGATTGAGTTCATTCCAGTTTTTATTCCCACTAAAATACTTGTCCTGGTACGAAATTTCATTCTGGCATCATGTAAACTGAAAACGAACTTCGTTTCGGATTAAAAATTGCAGATCAAGTAGTCTGGGACGAATAGCGCACGCGTATCCGATCTGGGACGAGAACCACGCAAGCGAGAACACCTTAGGCTAAGCCGTTCGATTGTATCATGTGAATGCAGTACGAACTTCACTCTGGAACGAAACTCATTGCGGAATGAAAGTCATTACGGTATCATTTCCACGGCCCCTTAGTTTCAGAGGATTGGTCGGGGATTCAAATACAGTAAACAAATAAGTTAAAAGCTAACTTTTCACGCTCTAGCTCTTCGTTAAAAAATTGGAAATTGAATCAGCAACAACGAGGATACGATGTTGAGTAGACGGATAAAATCAATACAGATGTATCGCTAGAAGACCAATCTAAAGAGCTGGACGTACTTATGAAAAGTGACTTGGGAAAAATAATGAAACATAGGGCTTAAGGTTGAGACTAGCTAGCATAGTGGTGCCAATCATTTGAGGCCAACGTACTAATCATAGTGATGATCAGAACATAAAATACGTTACTGACAAATGCTTTCATTCACGTACGATTTCAGTGGAATGGTGTACAGTCTAGAGTTCTCGCCTTCTTCGGAAGAGGGAAGGGGGAGATAAGTGACGGGCCTTGGAGACCTGCTGCCCTTACTTTGAAGGTGCCATTTCAATAGCACACCTGTAGCAGGATTTCCACTGTCGCGAAATGTTTACGTGTCTGATCTTTCATAGATAGCCTGCGAACAGCAGACGTACGTCCTTTACTTCTTTATTAATTTACTCGCTGATTCTTGGCAGGGTCACCGCGACAGCGCGTGGCGCCACTACTTGGGCCCGAACAGTCCCTCCCCCCGCCCCATGAGAGATAGACCACCACACCGGGAACTACGTCCCCTTCTCTTCACGAAAAGTGAGTGGGTTCTTTTACGTCTCACAGAATTTATAAGTGTAAGTGCTGTGAGCCGGGGCCTACGGTTTGTCGTCCTTATCCGAGAAGATTGTAAAGTCTATAACAGTTTGCGGATGTCTCCACAAAGGCAGTCCTTTCTCCTCAGTCATTTAAAGCTAAGTGCAAACCGACGCAACATTGTTGGCCAACAACTCCCACCATTTTTGGATGTGACATGTTGCGTCCGTTTGCACACCCTGTTGCGTGTTTTTGTGCAAAGTTTGAAACAGGTCAAACTTTTAGCCCCGTGCAAACGGGCGCAACATTGTTGGGAGTTGTTGCGTCAGTTTTCATGCAGCTCAAAAATCCTGAGTGTTGGTCCTGCCGGGGTTTGAACCAACGGCCTCACGCTTGGCAGCCCCGCGCTTATCCAATTGAGCTAACCGGGCGGCGGTTAAACAAAAGATTATGCATTTATCCATTTTACGCGCGTAGGCTCTTACCTAAGCTATATATAGATAGTATAGGAGACTGGTTATGAAAGGCGAAAAAGATCGAATATATAAAAAACGGTGCTGTAGTGTATTTTGGGACCTCCCTGGTGGTGTTTAATCCATTTGTTTTTGTTCACAAATTATGACGGAATGAATTGATGCGATCAGTTTTATTGGTCGGCTAAATCCACAAAATCATATAAAAAATGAGTTCATAGCCATCCCCTCTATTAACACTGTCCAAGCTTACTTGAAACGAATATGGTATCGTAATCATCATTGTGTTTTTACCACAAGAACTTTCCAATTTTTTGACATGTATACATTTTTAAATTCCATTTAGATGAATTACCAAACTGCTCCACATCTAGCTTCTCAGCATGATGATCTTTTAAGTGTCTCCTCCGAGACAATACCATTGTATCATCTACTACCCATCAAGGAAGAGGCAGCATTAGACCAAAGCTGTTGCCATGGAGATGGATCCGAGCTAATAAGTCTGAGCGGCCTGCTAGAAACTGCATTTGATATTCAAGATGAAAACGCCACTACCAATACAACGTTCAACCACGCCAACGATGGCAGCTCCTTTTCTGTAACTCAGGGTTGTCCTGACAACTGTCCCTGTGTTTGCCATGTACCAGCTCCATGCACTTCCTTTAATCAGAGGCGCCCCTCTGTGATCATGACTCCTGTGGCTAGACGCCGCAAAGCAGCAAGTGAATCATGTACACACGCTCCTCTTAAGGTACGTACAGGTACTTTAGGGAGCTTAATCAACAGCGTTTTAGAGCGACGGAATTCAACTGGAAGTGGACTTTTTGCATCATTGGGCAGTGGTTTGGTTCAAACTCTCGGGCAAATCGTCTTAATAAGGGAAAAGAAACTTAGCAATACAAATTTGTTAGCGTAAAGGCACGTAAAAAGGCACGGTTGACGTGCGTGGCTCAACAAGAGAGCTTAAGCAAAGCCGTTTTTAGCGACGGACCGCTACCGGAATTTGTTGTTGTTGCTATTTTTTTTTCATCCTCGGGCAGTGATTTTGCCCAAATTTGGTAGCGTCAAGGTTTATTAACAGAGAAAAGGCCACACTTCCGGTTGCCGTCCGTGGCTCCAAAAAGCCTTTGCCCTTCCTTGAGAAGACTAGGGGTATACAGGCCTTGCCCGCTGTGCAGGCAAAACTCATTTTTCGGATTCGATTTGCCGACCCCTAGGATTCTGAAAACAAAGAAGATCGGAGAGACGATCTGGAGTCATGAGTTTCCGTTTGAAATTCATCATGGCGGTTATGAATATCCCTAGTCAGTCCTCGCGGGTAAACAGTGCAAGAAAAACACCTGCATGAAACTTTATACAACACTTGTCCACGTGCACTGTATTATCGTTCGGTTTACAATTGGTGGTGTCAAAGTACAAAACGAACGATGTTCTACTTGATGATGTACCCTCCACCCTCAATTTGAAATCTCCCCATAACTAAACCCACAGCAAGTCTCACAATCATAGTTTGAAGGCCTAGCAAATTCCTCTGTGAAAATCGTCATTTATTGTTGGCGAGGCTGTTTGGGATGTCCAGTTGCTTGCCCACGAATATGAAAGTAAAATCTTGATGGCGATCTTTTTAAACGGCAGGGAACTCTTTCGATATGTTTTTAACTTTTTTTTCTTTATTCTTCTTCCTTTTCATGGGGGAGGAGGATTCGTGTTTTTACTTCTTATTCCGTAGACAAACACATTTGCTTTGACAGACAATCTTTGATGGAGGAACGCCACTTGAAGCATTTTTCACAAAGTCTATCTTGAACTTCTTTAGTGAAAAAAATAACTTAACCAAAAGAAAACGAATGGCTAAGTTATTCTTCTGTGGTTCTTTAACCAGATTAACCAGATTGGAGAAAACCTTGAAATGCCCTTCCATATCGTTCCAAATCAGGACGTCGTTACAAGCGTAAGTGTTTATGTTGTGTCTTTTGGTCGAGTCAAAATCTGAGAGCGCTAAAGACAAGAGCGTTCTAATGGTAAAAGCATTTGGAAATCTAGAAACTACGAAACGCTATTTTCAGCCGTTTCTTCATGACGCATTTCTTGAATAACATCACAGATCTCATTTAAATGTAAAATGGCGCTTTAAAGACTGCTTACAAGGTTGTTCGTTCCACGCAGTTTGATACTGGTGTAAAAGACACGATGCTGTTTTTGCACAGGTACCCCCAGCTCACGCGTGACACTCGTTGTTGCGTAACAGAAATATTATAAGGGTTTGTATGGAGATTTAAGGTGACTCTACCCAGTTTTTTGGGGGGTACCATCCTACTTTGAAGCTCTCTGGTATCCCCACCTTTACGTTTATCGTAAGTCTAACACATAGAATGGATGAGCAAACTTGAGCACTCCACGCTCGCATTCATCTCTCTCTTTCTTGATTGCAATATATTTAAGTGCTCGTTTGTCCTGGCATTACGTGAAAAAGACACAGTGGATGTTGGTGATGGTGATAATGCCTGATAATGGTGATGATGATATGTACATAAACTGTCGGTTGAAACAGAGGACGCAAAAAACCACTTACTTAGCCAGCCAACGTTTACCATATATGGTGAGTGCATATTGTAAGCAACGTTTATGCCTCTTTCAGCAGGAGGAACAAGAAAGCAACGAGACTATGGATGTCATTCCCGAGAAAGAAAGCAACAAAAGGGTGGTAAGTGTATCCAAGAGAGAACAATGAAACAGAGAGTGAAACGCCCAGTCTAGCCCAAAGTTATTTTTTGACCAATTACAGTCGGTTGTTTCTAAGAATAGACACGCGACAAAAAATCATGTTCTATTAAGGTGCCAGACATGACGTGTTTTGCCACTAAACATTTGAGTTTGACAGCCGTTAAAGCAAACTGTAGCGCAAAGGGCTTAAGTTGTTTGTATGCTTTTGAACAGGGTGTTCCGCTCATCTTTTATTTTTCTCAACTTTTAGGAATATTTCTCTCTCAGAAACAGCACACTTGCATCTAAGAATCACTCTTTGGTGTTTACAACTCCAGAGAGGTCCGCATCGTTTATTCATTGCTGTCAGCAGCCTTCCTGGTCAGTTGTAAAGAGAGAATTCCACAGTCCCGAGAGAGAATTATTCTCTCTTGACAGTCGTCATTAAAATATTCTGCATTGTTTGATTTGAGGCAGCCGCGCGTGAGCATGATCTCGTTTCAAACAATCGATTAAAATGTGCGGACGTCCCAGGAATTAGACTTCCGTTCAAATACAGCCTCTAAAAATAACTTAAGTGAAATTTCCATACCCCGGCCAACGACCTAAGACCCCAACCCCCCATCCCCCCCCACACACACACACACACAGCTGTCCCATTATTCTCTCTTGATGTATCGCATTTCAAGAAATCAATAGAACGGCAAATCGAATAAGTGTCCTTTAAACAAACCAGTAATGGCATACATTAAGGCGGAGGCTGTTTAATGACCAGTTGCAGCTACAACCAGTTGTGGAATTTATGCACTTTTGGCATCGCACTTATGGACAGTTACTGCATTAAGATATTTGCAGGAGCAATTATTATTTATCCAGTCTGTCTGCTTTGACTTATTCCTTATTTGTCGATCGGGGCACACTGGCTACAGTCAGCGCCGCTCAGAGCGGTACGCATGACGATCAAGATAAACTCTAATAAATTTGTTTTATGGTCATTAAGTTTTTCCCTATTTCACGCCACTTTCGCCACCAAGTATGAGATAGTCATTGAGGATATCAACAAAAGAAAGTAATCAGATTCACAACAACGTTTTTCAGGATCTCTCTTGTTCCCATCCTATGGGTGGAGAGGCCCTGAGAACGAGAAAGTCAGATTTAGAGAAGAATATTGTTCGAGAGCAGGATTTTTATACGTATAGTGCGCGTATACGCGCATAAAAATGCATTCGTGTTCTTTATAGCTTGGAGAGAGTGCCTAAATTTTTACCTTTCTTCCGTTGTTGCTGAGTTATGTTAATTTGCCGTTGATGAAGTCTACATGACGAGAAAAGTGCTGGTTTGGACCTATGACGTCATTGAATGGCCGACATCCTGACCACCATCTTCTCTTTACCGAAAATTCAGATTTTTGCAGATAGCAGAGAAACTAAGGATGTTGTCGTAGTAACATCATGCCATTTATGACAAACAGCAACTGAATGTCACCAACCTCGGTAAAATGTGTTAGGATAACAGGTTCTGCCTCAAAATTGTTTTAAACAAATAAGGCTTAAACCGTATGAAGTTGTCTCCCCCTCCCTGTACATCAGAGGCTAAAATGTTTTGCAAACTGAACCAGTCACGGTGAACTTTTGCATCGGTTCATACGTGCCTGGAAGCCAATTACGTTTCCTTGCATTCACAAGATTAGAGGAAATCGTGTGAACATAGCCTTTTAATAACGAGTAAATAAGATGTCCACTCATTTTGTGTCTGTTTGCAAACTTAAGCGTCTTAAATGCCTCTGGACAAAGTCTGAGTTAATTTTTTCCCTTACGATAGGAAAAAGTCTGGAAAGATACTAAAGACGGAAAGCGTTTCCTTCGAGCTAATATCGATGGTCTGGTAACGAGATTTAAGCTGACAGAAGAAGATTGGGAAGTAATGGAGATCACCCATTTCCCAGGTGGAGGTCGTTTGTTAGGTGGTGCCTGGACTACGATTTTTAAGCGCGGTTTACACGAAAGCAATCCCTGGTGCAACTTGCGCCTAAAGAATAATCACGTTCGAAAGGAAAACTCTCGAAAGATCATTTCAGCACCGTTCTTCAGAGGATCTGGAAACTGCAAGCGCCGTGAGTGCAACATGAAATTCAAAATGGTCATTGAAGAGGAGAGGGGAAAATACGTTAAAGTGACGTACACGGGAAATGTTTGCCACAACCATGAATCATATCCAATGAAAAAGTGACTTCAAGAATGACTGCAAAAGACCTGACAACGGTCTCGGCATTAATATTTCGGGCGGTTAGTTGAACCCGCCCATGCAAGGATAGGTTAGCTTTGTGAGCTTCAATCGTAGTAAGAAGATGTTTGACTTTTTTAGTGTCTCGAAAATCAAAATACGAGAACTTCAAGTTTTTAAAGGATGGGAGAGAAAGTAGAACTGTAAAAAAGGAATGTACCCCTTTCTATATTCTTAAAGGTCAAAACCGTTACAAATGGACGTCATTTTTACAGTAGAAGAGACACAACAGACAAAGTAGGTGGAACGAACAGTTATATAAGGCCCCTGGAAAGGACGCGGAGGTTACCAAATCTCATTTTTCTATCCTATTTTTCCAATTCCTTTCTTCGATGTCTTCACATTACTACCTAGGAGCCTGCAACAGGCTAATCCAATGATAGCTAAGATTTCATTCCACTGGCAAAAGCGCGAGGACAAACCCAAAGTCAAAGTCACTTAGGGGATACTCAGATCTTAAAAATAGGCACATCACAGCTCTGTTTATAATTGATCAAAAAAAGATCAATTAAAACTTTGATGTATCTTAGTGCTAAGGATTGTTTGTAGATTTTATCACATTTGTATAACCTTTATATTGTTTACAGGTTGTTGATTTATTCAATAAACAGTTCCTCTCCTTTTCATCTTAACTGTCTTCTTTTTTTTCGTCTGTGAATATTTGTTTTATATCCTCCCTTTACATACAGTTCGAGGAGATACAGTCTGCAAACAGAGTTCGGGCCATAACCAGAACTGGATAAATGACGTCACCCAACTTATCAAAAGGCGCCCACACCAAGGGTAACAATACACGGTCATTTCTTAGCTCGCTTGTGCGCTTTGAAATCAGGCCTTTTCCCACATTAGTTTGAGAACTTGCTTTTGAACAATAACGAAACGAGCAGAAGAGGGTTAAAAATTGCGTCCGTTGAAATTTTGCAAGCGATTTACACGTCGTGAAACGAATAAAGTTGGGACTTTTAGCCTGATCAGGCGCCAAACATCTGGAGAACGCAGGTAGGCAGCAGGTTTTTGTTTTTTGCAATCTTAATTTCATTTGCTTGTACTTGGTGATATTTTCATTGTAGTGTAGGTCTCCTCCACATAGTGCTACGTTTTTGAAGAGGCAACAATGAGTTGCGCAATGAGCGTTGGCTGTGAAGAGACAAATCCATTGCACAGCTCACGCCATGTTCTTTTTCTTGCAGTCTGGTAGAAATCCACATGATTGCTTTCTTGGATGGCAATATTCTACAGAAATCCGGGACTGTTCAGAAGTGTAAAAACAGCTTCTCGAAATGAACTTTCGAAGCTTCAAGATATTGAGCTTCCTAGACACTGCCTATAGACACCCGTGAAGTGCGAAATTGAGAAAAGTTAACTCAGAGCTTCAAACAAAGAGGCAGACAACAAATGTGCTGTTTTCATCTTTTGGTATTTAACTCTTTAACCAAGTTATGGCGAGATAATTTGTCACTCTACTGTTTAATATGCAAACTGAATGATACGGTGTTACCATTCAAAAGGTACGACTTTGGCAGAACTTATGGTAAGATTTCGGTATCACCCTATACATTAATTACGTGTACATATTGTGACTCAAACTCTATCCATGTTCTCCTTTTTTAGGGTTAGTCGAACATATACATGGGTATATTTATTTCTTGGCATTTTACGAAGGGGGAATTGGAATTGTCCACTTTGGCCGTAATGGGGAGTGAAAGGAATAATAAGATGCAAAAAGGTGTAAGGCGTATTTGTACAAATTCTAATGCAAAGGACAAGGCTTCATGGAAGGGAACCTTTACCTTATGATTGACAGTCACAATGGTAAAAAAGTCTCCACCAGCCTAGTCGAGTCCTGTTTGCACTTAAAGATAAAATGAAGTCTGAACTAGACCGGCTAGAGGGACTACAAACGCTTCGCAAGGCAAAAAGAGCCTATATTCTGGGTGTCAAATATTGTAGTGCTCGAAAAGCTGAATGGAAAATTGAGGATCAGCATCCATTCTGTCCACCTGAATCAGGCACTGAATCGATCACACTGCCCATTACCTGTGACAGAGGATGTTCTACTTCAGTTAGCCGATGTTAAGTTTGAACAAAGATGGTTTCTTACATATCTAGCTCGACGACGTGTCATCCACAGCCCTGGAGGCGCTGCTGTTGGAAACGAATGCCATTTGGAATGTCACCTGGTTCGAAGCTATCTCGACAGGAAAAGTTCGATCAGATTTTAGAGGGCATAACTGATGTACACCGAAACTTTGACGACCTGCTGATTACCCTCTCAGCCTCAATGCAGGAGTATGATCGGAATAATGCACCTATCAATGTAAACCCCGTAAGGGGGGAAGGCGGGCAAGGGGTGGGGATTTGACAAATTTTAAAATTTTTTGATCAAATTCCCCAGGGTGGGAAACGAAAGGTCAATCAAAAGTGTCAAAAAAGCCCCCACCACAGGGGAGAAAATCTAAACAAACAATACTATAATACTGTATAAAACGAATTAAAAGAACATTTCAAAAGTACGTCCTTACTAAACGTAAGTTCCGTTAAATTACTCTCCGTAATTAATAAGTATTTTCTCTCTCCACTAGCATCTCTTATTTTGAACAACAAAATCACTCTAGGAAGATTGACCGTGCTATTATAATATTAATGAAACGTAAAATGCTTTATAACATCTGCTCAACATGTCGAATCAGTGACCCGTAAAAAATCCTCTGACTTTCATGTTGGAATTCGATTTCAATCGAGTTTTACAATCAGATGGGAACTTGAAGATAAAAACTTTCTAGACATTAAACAATAGACATTACCTGTTTAGATGACAGTTTAAAGCATCGGATTATGGTGATTAAAACAAATAAAACTTCACACCTTTCTCCAATAGCGGGGCTTTCAGAAAGCCTCGAGGGACGGATTTGGTAACCGCTTCTGAATTGATACCAGGCTTCTGTCGGTCAAAGTCAAATGTCCCGACCCCGGGGTCGCTTCGCACAATCAAAAGCTCGACAGGGGGATAGTCTCAGGCATCAAATCCCCGCCCCTTGCCCGCACTCCCCCCCCCGCCCCCATTGATAGGTGCATAAGCCCTTTAGAAAGGTTCTTGTAAAGGACCATTAAGCTCAATAGACAGAAGTTTATGTTTAATTCATCGGTCACTTGTTAAGCAGTGAAGTAGTGTTTCTGATTGGTCGTGCCACGTGGGAAATTTGACTCAAGCAACCAGAAGCACTACCCAGATCTGGGTAGTGACGCGTCATCAGTATGGAATTTCAAATTCAAATGTCAAATGTCGGCTGCTTTCTCAGGCTAAACCCCACCCATAGACTTACTAATAAAGATGTTCCCAGGGATTGGCTACCTTGACCTTGAGAACTAGGGCCAACATGAAATGGGGTTAAATGTCATCATGGGCTCTCCCTTTCCCCCTTCCATCTGAGTACGCGCAGATACACATCGTGGATGTCTCAACCTTCACTACGATTCAAACCAGGAATCCACATAAGTTACTCAAGGCTGGTTTGAATCGTAATGAGGACACCCCTAACGTGTACCTTACTACTGAAATCTCGTCTACCAGTGTTAAAGTTAGGTTACACTAGCAACTAATTGAAAGCAAAAGCGGAGGTGGAAGCAGCGGTCGAAAAGTTTGTGTCAATCAAAAAACAAAGAAAGACCTGATGAGAATTGAAAGTTTTACCAACAAGGACGGCGAATGTAACGAAAACAACCAAAACGCTCTTGGTCTAACGAGCAAAACAACAACTTTGCACAAGGATCGCAATTTTAAGTCCATTTCTTTCACTTCACAGTGCTGCACTGACCAAGACGTTTAATTTCCTTATGCAAAGTCTTGGTTCCAGTCTCTAATAAGAAGTCATCTCCACGGGAATTCATGTTTGAAGAAATGCGAATTCAATTTGGTAATGACGTTTTCGCTGCAGTCCTTGTTTCTACTCCCGAAGCACCTGGGACCGAAAAGACGGAGGAGTAGACAGAAACAGAAACATTAAGTCAACTTCTGCTTCTTTTTCCTTTGTTCTGCTTCAAACCTAATTTAAAACCAATGGCGATACATACTCAGCGATTTTGTTTTTTGGACATGTTCAGAACACTTTAAGGTGCGGAAGAAATGCAAAAATACTTTACAGGAATCAGGCGAAAACCATGTGCGCCTCAAATCGTGTTTTTCACCCTTTTCCAATAACAATCTTATTACACACTTAAGATAACTGATTTTTCTTGACATAATCCAATGCGTCGTCGTACCCTTTACCGTGTATCTTACGAAGAAGACGCTTCCTGGGCGGGTACAAAATATTTGTCGCTCTTCGCATGTTTTCTCTGTTAACGTACACGTGCATATTCCTCCAATAAATCTCAGAGAAGGATCGGGATTTATCCTGCGGACAGATCTCATTTTTCCCGCTGAATGGAGACACTCTAATGGTAATTCCCGATGGGGGAATAGGGAGGTTGTCAGTAAATCCACCATCAAACCAGGTCTGTGGAAAAAGAGACGAAAGAACAAGGATAAAGCTTGGGAAATTCGAGCGCAGAGAACATCGTATTCCACGGAAAGTGACTCGTTGAAATACCATATGAGGGTTGAGTTCGGGGGGCGATCAAAAGTTTTCCCCTCTCCTCCAAAAACAACATTTCCAAATTCCGGAGAACAACCTTTCGCTGCCTCTTACTCATCATTCATATCTACTCTCTTATATAATTTTATTAAAAAAAAATAGCCAAAGAACATGAACTGAAAAACAAATGCGTAATTCAATCCATAATAACTAGAACTGTGGTGAAAAGAACTTAGAAACAATTTCTGAGTTCCAGATGGGAATTGAACACCCAGTCTTCCGGATACCAGTCAGATGCTCTAACCACTGAGAATTTGAGTGATGGACAAGTCATTTGCGGGCTGACTAACAACCGCAATTTGAATCACATTATATGTACAGTATGTCAGATGAACACACATTGCGCTCTCACGTAAATACTCTCTGACCAATTAAATAATAGGTAGAAATAAATTATGACAATCCTGTGGTCAATCTGCTTGAAAATTTTTGTGACAAAGAAAACTTTAAAGCACAAAATTAGATATCATTTTGGCGTAGACGTGGTAGTTATGTACAATAACGATACGCATTGAAGCTTAAGTATCAACCACATACCTGCCCTTTAAATTGTGGAAACTTCAGCCCAGCATAGAAAGGAATGTAGCAGCTTGCCAGTAAAACCTTGAAAACAGAAGATAAATTTAAGATCATATTCATGTTTGAAACGTGTAAACCACTTACCCTAGTATGTGTGTGGGCTTTGGTCTCAGTGATCAAATTCTTATTTTGAACCATGAATACCCTATTTCCTCAAATAATAGCCATCCCTCGATTAATTACCTCGGACCACAAATAATCACCCCCTCAAAAGGAAGTATTTAACATAATCGCCTCCTCGAATAATCTCCCCCAAACCCCTTTCGCCATCTTTTCTTTCTTCTAAATCTAAATCTAAATATGTCGGCAAAATCGTTTGGGACATCACGCCAACTCTAAGATAATAATAAATAAAACTATACTAGAATATACAAAACTATTAAAAACTATTAAAAAACTATTAAAAACTATTAAAAAACTACTGATAAAAAGAAAACTAATTTGGTTTGCTTTTAAAAATACATAGGGATTGGCTGGAAACAGTTTCTTCTGGAAGTTTGTTCCATTCAGTTATTGTCCCGGGAAAAAAAGAAAATCTAAAAATATCTTTATGTCCTTTCGGTACAATAAATCCAAAATCATGGCTTCCCCGGGTTCTCCTTTCTTTGCTTGTTATCAAATAATCCCCCCAGTCCCCATCTAGGAGGCCGTGGCACATCTTGTATATAGTGGAGAGCCTTGCGTGTCTTCTCATTGTTTCAAGTGTGTCCCACTGTAGGTCTTGCAGCATTTCCGTCACGCTCGTTGTTCGATCGTAATTTCCAGTGACAAAGCGGGCTGCTTTCCGCTGTACCCTTTCTAGAGCGGCTTTATCTTTCTCGTAATGTGGGTCCCATGCGCTACAGGCATACTGGAGTTTTGGCCTCACAAGTGACATATACGCGGTTTCTTTCACTGACTTTGGACAATTCCACAGATTTCGCTTGATAAGTCCCAAGACCTTATTTGCCCTAGATGTGATTGTTTCAATGTGTGGTGATCACCTCATTTTGTTATCGAGCACTACCCCCAGATAAGGGTGAGATTCCACTTCTTCTAGGATTTGTCCACAAAATACGTATTCCCGCTTTGGTGGATCTCTCCTGGTTCTAAAACACATGATCTTGCACTTTGAAGGATTAAATTCCATCTTCCACTTTTGTTGCCAATCTTCTAATCTATACAAGTCCTCTTAGAGATCGGCTGTGTCTTCATCACAACAAATTGTCCCATATAACAATGCATCATCAGCAAAAAGTCTAACAGTAGAGTTAAGACTATCAGGTAAATCATTTATATACATTAAGAACAGTAGCGGTCCTAAGACTGTTCCTTGGGGAACACCAGAGGTCGTAACTACAGGGGCAGATGATGCCCCCTCAATTACCACTGATTGGGTACGCTGTGTTAGAAACGATTCAAGTTGAAGTGGATTCTGATCTAGCAAAACTGATTAGTGACAAAAAAAGCTCGGATGCAAAGGATATTGACATTAATGCAATTTAATCAAGGAAACAAATTTGGAACGCTTAAAAAGCCCATGTTCAGTGTATTTCATGAGATCAATTTTGGTTTAATGGGATAATAATAAAAAAAATATTTAGAGCCATTTTCCAGTAAGCAATTATTTGAAATAATCGTCTCCCTCGAATAATTGCCCCCTTTTTGTCTGGCTATTAGTCGACAAAATACAGCACAATTATTTAAAGCCCGTAAAAAAAAATTATATGTATCCTTTGCACAAGTATTGTCCTAATTACTTCAGAAAAAAAATAATGATTTCAGACAAACTGTATGCCTCTACTGTTAGTAATTTGTCATCACTGTATTTATGCTGTAAGGAAATTAAAATAAAAAACTTGGAGCATTCAAAAAACAGCCCTCTACTAGTCCTTTCTCCTCCCCTTTCCCCCTTCACTGCAAAACAGTCCGTATTTTTGTGTATTCAAGTGCGTGGGAACAGTCAAACAAAAAGGTCTGGAGTGAGACTGTGTACAGGTGCAGCACACAATTTTTAGATTTCTGTGCCACCCTATGGGCGTGTGATGCTCGCGCACTTCGCTTGCGTGAGACTGTTACGCTTACACTTCACTAAACCAATTTTGAGAAAAAAACTGACTGCTTTGCAGTCTACTTTTCCCACTCCCCTCCCCCGCCCCAAAAATGAACAAACGATATTGTGTCCCTTCAAACAAAAGCCAATCACACTTCCAAAACAATAGCAGTAAGTGAAAACATGACTGGACATGTTTAAATAACAATGGTTTTCTTACTTTGACAGTAACATGGGATGTCCAGAATGTTAAGAAAGTCTTTTACTTCCAAAAAAAAGAAACAGATCTCTAGACTACATATTCACCATATGGTTCAGCAGACTTAATAATTAATATTATTATTCATTCAAAATATTTTCCCTTTTCTGATTGGCTAAAAGCACGCGCATAATTCACCATAACCAGCTACTGATCACCAAATTTGGAAGAATTTTGCAATTAATCAACCAATGACATCAAAAGTGCAGCTTCCTTGCAGGTTAATGCACCGTTAACCAAGAAGACCTGGGGACGAGGTTGAGTTGTTTTGGTTGTAAAAACAAAAACGGCAGACATTTCACTCATTTCAAGAGTAAAAACTAGGCCAAAAAATAGCTAAAAACATGGCAAGAACTGCAAGAAGACAACTCGAAGGGCGACATCTGTTGTTTGGAGAATATCTGCAGTGCTGAACAACCCTAAATGTGCACTATTGAAGATGAACTTAACATCGAGGGAGGTAAGCATGTTTTAGCTATGTTCTAAAACTAGGAATTATTTTGAATGATTAATAAAACAATTATTGAATACGGCTTTCGTATCATAATTATGAAGAATTATGGAGATCGAGGAGAGTGTTATTTAAAAATAACAAGGGCACATTTAGGGGTGGGCCCAGGGAGGCCCTGTACCCCCTTTTGTCCAGGAATTTTTTTCTTCTGTAAACATGTGTTGGATGGTACTTCAAGCTTTGTTACTTAAATATATTTTCTTTAATAAGAAAATTTATTGAACGTTGTCTTTGCTGGGAGGCTGCGCTCTCGCCGCAATTGCTCCAGCCCCTGCCAGCATCATAAAGTGTTAATTACTTCTTTGACCACAACCACAGCTGTGGTTTATTAAATATTTCAGCACTACATGTTCAATATTGCTAAATTTAAGCGTCCAAAATGAACTAGATTGCATCTCGGAGAACCTCAATCTCAAAATTTTCCCCGAGGAGCAATTTTTTGTGCCCGAAACTCCCTAAAAAAGTGTGCTGTTCGCAGTCCTGTTGGGCACTACCATGCCCATACCGCCACTGTGTACTATATCTCTAGGCCCCCTCTATCACAAAATCCTCTGTCTGCCCCTGAATAATGTACACAAAAATCTAGATACTGATGGAACAGTCATGTGGTGTACTGTGATGCCACCATGTGAATGAATGGTTCAGTTACTATCATACACGAAAACAAAGGGAAACAAACATTCAAAAATTAGGGATAATTAAACCAACACATTAGACATAGAGCAGTCTAAAACAAACTACAACTTAATTCAAAGGCTGGAAAAAAAATCGCCTCTTACTTGGATCAAGTCTTCCTTTGACTCAAATTCCGATATGATAACATTTTTCCTTTCTTTTAAACTTGTTACTGAAATAAAAAGCCTTCCTGAGGCAACCTTGTGAGAATTTGATGGTAGATGAAGTTCAAGTCCTTTTCTGATGTTTCCCACCAGGTCAAATCCTGGGTTAAATGGACCAAGTGGGTGTTTTCGGGCCTCATCAGTGAGTTCAATCACAAAATCAGAGCACTTGTTTAAGGGAGCTGATGTTGCTAGCACCGCGGCAACAAGTGACCCTGCCGAGGCACCTGCAAAAGCTGTTATGTTCTTGAGAAATTGAGGCGCATGAGATGTAAGACAAGTCGCTACTCCAAGGTGATAAACTCCCAGAAAACCGCAACCAGCAAATGAGAGGTTCATAAGTTGATCTGAAAGAAAAAACATAGTCATCAAATAATAACAAAAAATTAGTAGCCCGCAAAAACAGCCGTCTCTGGTTGCTCTTTGCTGCTAGGGATGTTTTCCCAGGAGAGATGTCTTCTCCTCAGCCACAGAAATAATTACATACTGATAACATATATCAATGGTTACATAATTTATTAATTCGGTAGTCAAATGGTTCCAAAAGTACATTTATTTGATTTTCAGATTTCGATTTCCAGTTTCTCCTTAAGAAAGTTTTGTGTTCCTCTGCGAATCTGCTTTTGCAAAACTCAAAAGCATATTCTAAAAGAATGTATTCCAGGAATATTGACTGTTTTGGAATAGAATCATTGCTTTTACTTTTAACCTCTGTGGCCTTTTGTCTTTTGTACGTGTCATTTCTAAACAATAGCTAAAACAATATATTAACTACTATGGTGACCAATCCGAGGCCCTGACCAGATTCCAGACAGAGTTTTTCGTCACCAGTATGGTATTACTGTCACTGAGGTACATACGTCTCTCCTGGCGAAAATATCCCTACTGACAGGGAGAGAGGAGAGACGGCTATTCTGGCAGGACAGAAAATTAGCACCAAAATCTAAACATAAAGGGTAAAATATTCATACAGCTTGAATCATAATAGGTATACTATAAAATACGTTTTATAGTTCTGTGCAGCTCCTGAAATGAGACTGATACCGACTGAAATGATCCCCACTGTTTGCACATTGACCCCGAAATGATCCCCAACTAATTCTTGGAATGGAATGGTATTCGGCCACAGAATTAGAGAGCTGAAGTTCCAAATAAGCAGTCTTGGCACTAGGCTACTTAAAAATTCCAAAAGACACATGTAATAAGCACTTTTATGTTGAGATCCTTGCTTACAAAATAGCTGCTCCCAGTCTTCCCTAGTGATATGCTTTGAAAGTGCCTTGGCTCAGCTGTTACCTGGGGGTGTTACATTTAATATCTGTACCCCCCACCCCTAAGTTAAGGACCAAGCCATTCTTCAAGGGTAAGTTACAAAAATTGAGGATTTCTTTACGGGTAGAGCAAACGAATTCTTTGGGGGTGAAGGATTAATTTTTACAAAATCCTTTAGGGGTGCGACCTATATTCTTCGGGGTACACCCATATTTTATGGAAGTCTTCAGCGATTTATATAAATTTATATAATCTTTAGGGGTAAGAAGAAAAGGTAAGTCCTATACTGCGAGGTACGGATATTAAGTGCAGTACAGCCCAAGGAGTGAGAGTCGAAATCAAGTCTCTTTCCAACAACGGTAATCGAACTCATAACAAGTTTAAGCGCAATTGTGTTTGATTGTCGATCCTTATCAAAATCCATCGGACGATTGAAATTGGACTGGATCCAACTGGTTGTTCGTTCGGTTGGTTTCGAGCTTTCGGTTTTCTTCTTTATTAACGCTGGACACAAATTATGCTCCGACGACAATTTGATCAAGTTAGTTTTATAATATCACATCAATGCTGGCGCGAGATACGTATTTCTGGTGAAATAATAAAAGGCTGTGGAAGAAACCGTACCTTTTCACCGGTGCGAACTCCTCAGGTTCTACGAAAAATTCTGCCAGTTGTCTGTGCAAAAACAGACTGCGGAGCCGCGCCTTGCGTCAGATAAATGCTAACAGAGGTGGGGTGGGGTTGTTGGAGACAGAAGTAAGGTCAGGAGCCCATCAAATTGATGGGCTCCTGGTAAGGTGCATTGGGGTGGTGGATGGTATAGTTTAAACTATCCTGAGTTGCAGACGCTTGAAAGTACTTTTACGGGGGCAGAAAAGAACGAGGCGCGCCGTGGAGACACGCGCCCCGTTCTTTCTTATGCTTCTTACCTCCAAGTGCATGCTACGCGGGCTATATTTTACCTGGATTTTAAAAAGTCTTAACTTTCCTGGGACTGGGCCAGCATAATGTAAAAATAATATGTTACCCAGGGGGCCCAATAAGGGTTATGGGCTCCTTTTACCTATATTTGACAACAAAGGAGTGGCAAAGTAGGATTCAGTACGTCACGTGTCGTATTAAAGGCCGCGGGATATGGCTCGCGAACTCGGGATCTCCCGCCTCGGCAGACCGGTCTCAAAACATTTTTAAATGATTCAGGCCTCTCTCCTGTATGTCGTAGGGAGAGTGGAAGGAGGGAAAAGAAAGCGCGAGTGGGACGATGGCAAGGGGAAAGAGAGGAAGCGAGGTCTCGAGGTTCACGCATTTCCCGTCTTTTTTATGATCGTCCCCCGTACGATTGCTATTTTTCGATTTTTGCTACTTTTAGCACTGGGGTACCCAGCGGGAGCCTCTTCGGAGGAGAGAGGATTCGGGCGGTGGTACTGGTATTTTTTTCGCACCGAAAGCAGGAATGGGGGATTAAGCTTAACCTGGAGCGAGCAACTTTCATGTACACGTGTGTGTATCGGCAAACAAATTTATATGACGTTGTATGGGAATCATTCTTTGCTCTGTAAATTAGCAAAATGCGCATCGAGCTTACCTTTACTATTTATGTGCTGATTGCTTATCAGGCCTTCTAGGCACATATAAAATGCCTTTTAAGGCCTGCAAAACGCTGTCAGTGAAAGGTTCAAAAGGTTCATAGGCATTCAAGAAACTCGCTTACATTGAATTTTCTAAGAATTCGTTTTCTTTTTCGTGTTTGATATGTGCTCTAAACCTATATTTTGCTAAAGGGGAAATTGCTTGGAAAGGCAAAACTTACTCGAGGTTGCTAAAACTGCAAAAAGTTGCTCCAAACGCCAAAAGTTGCTCAAGCGTTGCCGAGCACAATCTGGACTAGTCACGGTCTCCCTGGGGGTCTTCTTTTGGAGGGGGCTCATTCAGCACGTACTGAGATGTTCGCTGGTTCATCCTTCGCCATACTCAAAATTTGACAAAGGAATTTGAGCGGTAGTGAGGTGACCCTCGATAGCAGAGGGCTAGTGCCAGTGTTAATCCAAATAAGGCGTACAGAAAATGTCGGTCGTTCCGGTAAAAGGGAGAAAAAGGTAATTCAGTCCCTTATTTCCGAAAACATTTCACAGGGATGAAACGTTCTATTTGGATTCTCTCCTGAATTACCAGGTTTTCCATACAAATGGTAAGCGCTTTAACCTTACTAACACCAACTGTAAAACCGACTGTAGGAAAGCAGAAAGATTACATTGCGCACAAGCTCTCCAACTGGGAGATATCGCGAGAAGTCACGCGCGAGAGGCACGCGAAAGCGGACGCGAGAGTTGGGGGCTTGCACGCGCGTTCTCTCTCTCTCCACGTTTCACTTGTAAATGGCCACCATTTTGAAATAAATTATTTCCTCAAGGGAACAAAGTCAGAAACAACACCTGAAAAAGAAGAAGGAGGAGCCGATTCCCTGCCCTTTGGAGTTTCTCTCATAAGAGTAAAACTGGAGAATCAAGCTTTGACTATGGTGAAATGGTGACACTTAATTATAAATTTGGTGTTTTTAAAATCTTCATTTATCAATTAACAGTGTTTTAAAATTGTTTTTATTTTGCTGCCAAAAACAAAAATAAATACAAGGTACATTATACGAAAATAATTACTATTTTTACGAATATTCTGTTTCTTGGAACCTGTCAGAAAAGAAAAAAACATACAAATATTAGAGCCCTGCTGTGGCAGTAAGATAAATTCAACCTTGAGTAATTCTGTCGACTACTGTAGATTGATTATGCATCGATTTCAATAGTTGATGGATTTTAATGTCTTAAGCATAGTATGGAAAAAAAAACTGCAAGGTCATGTTGTGTAAGTTTTAATCCTTTGTAATTCATAACTGAACTAATAATAATAATGATGATGATGATAATAATAATAATAATAAAACTACACCAACAAAATCCCTGGCAACATCAACATTCATGAACTCCAGAAAATAACTCTCCTTTCTACAGCCCACCTTCTCAGGCGGGTCCTCTCCATCAAGTAGAAACCCTCTTTGCCTCCCAAGGTCCATGGTTTGGACTTGGATGTTGAGAGAGAAAATCACTTGCAATTACACTAGTATATCTTATATAACTATAATAATAATAATAATAATAATAATAATAATAATAATAATATACTGTACTTTCAACCCCAAATCTCGGCCCCATTTTCCTTTAAACTCCTGACTCCCGGCCTTTAAACAGGGCAAATTCCAAGTTCCGCAAAAAAACGTATTGGGAACCCTCAGGAAACTACACTTGGTAATCATAGATCTTGTATTAAAATCATTTGTTTCCCTTGTTCATTTATTTTGACTTGCAAATGGACAATAAAGGCCCTTTAGATTAATTACTGGTTTTCTTACTTGCATTGTGGACAGCCATAGAAAACTGTCTGTCCCTCATCAGCTGATCTGGTTTGTCTTGTGGTGTATGTCATACCTTCATGACCACAGTTTGGACACTTCCTGTCAACCTGAAAGCCCAACATACAATCATTTTAGAAGATTTTAAAAGTAAATGATGAATCTGAATCTTGAGTCACAATCGTTTCATAATGTGACACCTCATGAGAAAAATTCCTAAAATGGTATTCATAAACATGCCAAACAAACAGCAAATGAACGGATAACAAATGGATAGCTGAGCTGTTCAAAACAAAAGGGCTGAATGGTTGAACAGCTATAAAGGAAATTTTTAAACAGATGAGGTTAATTAGCTGAATGGCTTTACGAATTTTTTTTAACCAATGAGGTGGACTGGCTAAGCAGCTAAAGAAATTTTTGAATGGATAAGGTTGAAAAGCAGAAGAAAATTATTTAATGGTTGGCTGGCTTAAATAGCCAGCAAGCAACCTTAGAAGGGTATACTGTGCAGGGCACTGTTACTGTGCCAGAGGAGGAACTATACCCTGACTACACTTGTGGAAACCAAGCCACTTGCCAGCAAAACCTTTCCTGACATCAATTAACACAATAAAGGCACTGTAATTGGGGTGCAGGACCTGCATGTTATTATGGTGATACTGTGGTGTGGAAAGAAGTTAGTCTGAGGAGTTTTGGCTGAGGCCGAAGGGAATGATGATGATGATGATGATGATGACGATGAAGACGACAATGATAGTGATAATGACAGATACTTACAGACGTATTACTAAAACAAAAGAAAAAACAGAAAAAAAACAGAAAAGTCCAGGTGAGACTTGTTTCTTTTGAGTTTTGTTTTTAGTGATATTTGCCTGTGCACAGAGAAGAATTCTGCAACTTTACTATTTACCATTGGTCCTACTGACTCATCTGCTTGTTTTGTTATTGTTGTCTTTTCTTTGACAGTATTAAAAACCTTTCGCGAGTGTACCTCTATACCCTCAAAGTCTGCATTCATGAGAAAAAAATATATACATGTATAATTGACAACATAAGCTACATGTAAGTACCAGTTAAAGATAAAGTTTATCAAAGTTTAACAACCAGTTCAGGCCCAGTTCAGAGGCAAAGCTTTTTAAGAATTACTTAGATCAGCTGAATTGATTCAGATGATGATGTTAATTCCAGCCTCATTTCATGTAAAATACATCATAACAATTTACGCATTGGGTTCGGCATTGAAAAGTTCAGCATCTGAATCAGAGCTGAGTTCATATTAATGCTTTACTTGTAAAACCCTTCATGAGGACATCCATGTTCGAACACAAGCTATATTTGTGGTCAAATAGATTTCCAAGGTTTTATGAGCAACTCTGAAATGAGGCTTCTGGAATATATGTAATTAAACTTGAAGCTGCTTGTCTCACTGCAGAGCTGAGTTGTATAATAACAACAAGAAATCTCAAAGGTCATTCATTTGCCGATTTTCTGGATACAACATGGTCAATAATTGTAAACAATTCTTTGCCGTGTCAATCACCTCATTTGGCAAGAAGAAATTATTTAGAAAGATTGACTTAATTAATTTGCTTCCTTAGACAAGAACACTTCCACAGTCAAACCTTGAACATCTCGAGGAAACCTCAAAGGGTCATAAGATAAAAAAAAAAATGAAATATTCAGGCTAACAGTCAGCTTGTATGTAGGATTTAAACCCCTTTGAGATTACAGCTGTTAGCCAGTCAGATTGTTGGAAAGGACAATAGGGAAGTCTCAAAACAATGACAACAACTGCAAAGCACAAAGGATGAACATCGGCCTTTACGACACAATATCCAACCACAAATTCACCACACTTGTTTTGATACATATCCTTTAAGAATTAGTTGGGGCAATTTGATAAAAGATCAAAGTATTCTTCCTTTAATAATCATTCTAATAATTTTCATACATGTAACCTTTTCTTTTGATTATGCTATGTTTGTGTTGTGGTTCAGTTTTATACTTGGTCAAATCTTATTTTCCTATGTTTTAAACTCGTTATCATACATTACCATAACATTGATAGCTGCGGATGCATAGGAAAGATAAGTAAGGAGTCATTTTTTAAACGAAAACCTTCATTTGAAACCTCTTTAATGAGAGTAATCTGACATTAGCAACTCATTGGTTTAGTGGGAACCAGCCTAGTTTTCCGGGTGTTTTGAACTCTGTCGACTGACCCAACTCGCTGCACATGCATGTTGGAAAGACTGACTCAACTCATTGCTTTCATTTGAATCAAGAAATTTTTTTATACTCTTACCGGATGTATCTTTCTGAAAGTTGCAAAGGGTACAGGAAACCACTTCCAGTAAGCCGGGGAGAGGGAGGATAGAGCCGCAGCGGGGGCAGAAATCAGGATCACATTCGAACGCTTCCACGGACGCCATCTTGAATTGTATGAATGGCCGCTGATAAAGAAGGGCTGTGCGGCGGCTCAGAAATACTGTGTTCCAGGCCTCTCATCCAGACGAGCCTAGACGAGCGTAAAGGAGCTGGTAATTTAGTATCCGGTTTGTTTGAAAATTGAGATAAACAGCAAGCAAACCGAAGAGACACATCGTGCATCGGTATCAGAATTTCTTGCTGGAAACATTTTTAACTATTGGGCAGCCGTAGGCAACACGCAATTAAGTTCTGAAGTGTATAATGTCAAAAAAAGACAAAATGGCTGTTCCGAAAGGTTTGCAATAGTACGAACAACTGAGGTTATTCAGTCACATAAAACATTACATTACTAATAGTCAGGTCTCTTAAGGTCAGGATCGTTAAAGAGTTGACAAAAGCACCAAACTTTGCACAGCGATAACTTATTGCAGTACCATGAATATTAGAGGGGGTGCCCAATGCAAATATGCCACTGAAGCGTGCTAAACAGGATTTAATTATTGTAAATTTCACCTGCTGGGTGCCTGTGGTGTTTTGATTGAAAATTGTTATTTAATACCTTAAATCACTCAGAATACTCTTCCGTGTTGTAAACAACAATTTCACGTGAACATCTGGCATTCCCATCCATTATTAGCTTATTGATTGTATAATTAAGTTGATTATTACTGTGCCCTTACAGCATGTCCACAGTCCGCCCACATTTTCATAAGTCATTTCTAAGATGGCCTCATCTTTGCTTCATAACTTGCAAGTACTCAGCTTCTGGGGTTCTCTTCTCCCTTTCTAATGTATTTCAATAAGAGGAGGCCTTATTGTGTGGCTTACGCCTTATTTATCAAGTATTACTGGGCATTACCTGTCACTTTAAGCTAAAGAAAGCGTATGGCATAGCTATTCACACACAAAATTTCAGGAAAAAAGAAATTGTCAAAGAGTCTGTTATATCACATATTATCAGGGATTTATGACAGCTGTTCATGAAGAGCAAATAACGAAATGACAGAATAGTTCTTTCTTAAGGAGGTAATTAATTTTTCAGCGAAACATAGGCCTGGATGCCTTTCAGTCTCTCTTTATCTGCTGGACGCACGTGCATGTTTTGACAGAGAAGAAAGCATCGTGGCACAAGTACATATCATTTACAATTCCCGCAGTTTGTCTAAGCTTTACAAAGCAAAAACTAACCAAAAAAATGTGGTCTCATAAACGAAAAAAAGAAACAAGTTAGCCCCAAGCTTCACTAAACAGCACGGTTCATCACGAAGCCTCTACATTTGGCACTGAAGCACTCAAGTCCAAAAATATTAACAGCTTAACAAGTCTTAAAAGTGAGACTCAAGGGGTACAAGATTGACTCAAATGATAAATGGTGAATGGTTTAACTGCTGAAACTGTAGAAAGGGGGCCGCACTAACTTTTAGTGCCTTGTATTTCAGTTGCAGGTTTTTTTCTCACTAACCTTTTCATTCTTGATTTAATTGTATTGTAATTATTTTAGTTAAAGTCTTCTTCTATTCCTTAAATTCCTCACGTCTTTTTTTTTTTTGCTGACCTTAGGCCATTTAAGCCCCCGGCTTTGGCTGTTCTTGTGTATTTTTTCTGCCAGTGTGTGATATGTATTAATAAAGTAAGTTAAGTTAAGTTAAGTTTACATGGAGGAGGGGGACCCCAGGAAGTCATGGTTACTAACTTAGGTCGGGTATTAACCCTCATGTCCATATAATCTCTCATTTTAATTTGATCACGTTTACATGAAAGGTGGGGTGACCCTTCAAGGTGGTTAGCCCGGTCTACCACACCGGGTAACCCTCTCAGATGAGGTCAAATTTTGCCATGTCAACGCTTCAAGGCGAGGTAACACAGGCTAGTCGGGGTGGATTCGTGATACATCAAATTCACGCAAAATTCACTTTGTGCCGGATAGCTTCACATAGTTATTAAAGGTAACGATCGAAAGCCACAACACTGAAGGTTGCAGCAAGAGCAGCAAGTGAGCGTAGAGGTGGTTTGCTAGCATTTTTCTTGTTTACGTGCTTAGCGACCATTCAATAATCTTGAGAAAGTGCACCCCAGGATGGCAGGGTTGTAAGATTGCATGTAAAGGAGGGTTATTTTTTTTACCCCACCTAGGCAGGTTACCTCACCTACCCGGGGTCCCCAACCTTAATGTGAACAGGCTTTAAGTCTCAAGAACCGTGAAACTGGTAATAAACAGTATACCTAACCCGGGACTAGCTGTGATACTACGTTCATCTTCAAAAACGTCAGCATAGCAGCCAAAGGAGCCATTAAATCGGTGTAACACGAATATTAGATTGCGGATTTTTCATGCGTCTCGCTTTGTAACTTTTTTTGTGTTCGTTTTTGGCACCATCTCTAAATTTCAATCATGCTCAAAACACCCCTACTAACAAAACATTTCGTAAAGCTCTTTAGAATGATATTCAGCAATAAAAATAAGGTGTGACCAGGAGGGGATTTCTAGGCTCCTAGTGTGGCAACATAGGCATAAGTGAATGCAAAGTTTTGCGGTATGTAATCTGTCAGAAATCTGTTTGGGTGGTCAAAGTTGGGGCTGATGGGCTTCCTTATCATGACCACTCCATTATTATAAGGGACCAGGCCATAATTATTGTTGACCCTTGCTTTTTTTGGTATTTTCTGTAATTTTCCACAGCATTATTTTGTGAAAAGTAGGTAACTGAATTGCTCTTGAGGAATTCATGATCGTAAGATTTCGTAACCGCGGGGTATTCGCCTAATTGCATCAAACGAATTACATTCATTTTCATAAATGATACATCATTGGTTGGCTAAAAGAGGTCTTGTTCCTGTAACTTTCAGCTCTTCTGAAATTTGTTTGTTTGTAAACTTTAACGCAAGCGACGACCTTTCTTTTTTTTGAAAGATCGTATAGACCTACCATTAACACTCTGGTGCGAGGGCTCTGAAGTGAATGAGCTCCTTACCGGTGTCTAGGCATGCAGGGACCTCATACACTTCTTTTTAAATGCAAATGTGTAAAAAATAAAGAGTGTTAAAAATTCCTGGAGAGGCAAAAGGTAAAGCGACCATATTTTACGTCAATAACTCGTGACAGTAATAATAACTGATAAACTTGAGGTCGACGGTACGCTCCTTTTACCCCCCTCTCTCCATTAATGTTCCTTTTTAAGGGTATTTAAAGCTAGTCACAGAAAGGAGAGAAGCTGAAATAAGGATGTGTTGAAACCGGGGATCGAACTGGGGACCTCGCGCACTGAGGGCTGCACACTAACCAACTGTGCCACCCTTGCTCCTCCTTTTCCCCCTGAGAACGAGGTTGACATGTTTTAATCATTATCTCAAGGACAGGGTTACCAACGAAGCAAATTATAATCTAATCTTAGTTGCACAATTACAACGTGGGCGCGTTGTCAGTTACGGTTCATGAGGTCGGTCATGTGGCATGTCAAAATTTAACGATTCTATCGTTTAGGATGTGATACATTTGGGTTTTTTGTTATTGTATGACATCTTTGAAAGCTGGCTTTGTGATCTGTTTAAATTGATATGTAATGATATTATCACTGTCAAGTCTTAGCAGTGACACTGATAGCCGTACGGTGAACATGACCACACTTACCGTGTGGAGACTGGGCACTAGTCAGTATTATGTACATGTAAGACTATTTTGAATAGTGTAACAACAACTAAACATTACCAAAGTAAAAACTTAAAAATTTGAAACAAATGTTTTTTAGCCAAATCAAACAAGAAGAGCACTCACCACAGGGCACCCAACCTGTTATTATAGGTGAAAGTTAACCCCCACCCCCTTTATCTGTAATTAGGACCATTTGTAACGGGCACCCCCTCCAGTATTAATCGGCAGGTGCTAAGGAAGCTCTGTGCCAAATTTGACGCTTTTGTCACGTCTGTAACGATCCGGCCTATATTTTGCACTAAGAGACCTGACTATAAGTTACATAAAAACAGACGAGGGTTTTTTGAATGTCCGGGGGCTACTCCCCCCCCCCCGCCTAATGGCCTATACGAGCAGACTCGCCCGAAAGTGGTACCTTCTTTAGGCTTCATGTATATGATAGAGGATCTCAATGGGGTGGTGGCATTTACGGCTATCGGCTAATTTTTCTCAGTTACGGTTAACAAAAAAGTTAAAAATTAACTTCTTTTGTTTCAAACAGTTAAATATTAATTAACCTGTATTTTTTGTATCTTTAAAGCAAAATAAAGGTCTTCGGATCATCTCGGGATATGAAATAAGCTATTCTTTTGAAAAATTTTAAATTTTGCTACACAATTAAAATTTTGATTGCAAACTGACCTCGGACGCGAAAATTCAGCCAGCTGTTACAGGCAGGGAGGACAGTTGCTTTTGACTTTTCTCACCGTGGTCACGCTTGGTCACGCTCTACGTCCAATTTGTATGCTCTGATTGGTCAAAATTTGACAGGTGAGTTCATGCGGAAAATTTATGCAGCATCTTGAATCTTGTTTACTTTGACAGCTGAAGCTGACAGAGTTTTGTGTCAATTTGTGATGTTTTTAACTGCCTTTTTCCACTGGATGTGCAAAATGAAATTCAGCTGCTATCAGGAGTCCTCTGTTATTCATGGCTAGTTTGTTTACTGGGTTTTTGGTTGAGGAATACGTCGCTTGTCAAAGTCGGAAATCCGATTTCGGATGGCATCGTTTTCGTTTTCACCTTGCTTGATGCGTAAGAGGATTGCAAAGTCTGAAGCGATACTGGCTTTTCTTGATACCTTTCAGGAGCTGCATCTCATCTCCGTTGACAAGTAGGCTATATATCCGTCGCTTATTTCTTTTCTTCTCGCCACCAATATCTGTTTTTACTTCTGTTTTACAGAATTGCAGTGAGCTGGCTTTCGTATTCGGTTTCAGCGTGAAGTTTGGGCCAACATGTTTGCCGCTTTTCTCCAGCCATCGCCCTCTTGTCGAGCTTCTGAGGCTTCGGCAACCTACAAAATCATCCTGT